GGCTCCCCAAAATTTTTAACGTACTTTTGATCAAGTTCTAAGCAGCTGGGTAGTGTGACATATTCAGAGCCCATTTCTGCTTGATCAGAAGCAGTAGTGGTTTGAGAGACAATAATGGATCACATCAAAAGCAAACCCCCTAAACCTATTTTTTTTTCCCCAGCAGAAATGATCAATTGAGTTTTAAATAGCTCCAGACTTTAGCAAAGTGTGTATTTGTCCATTATTTTCCTTCAACCTTAAGGTACAGACAAGTCTGGCCTTAAGCCCAAGCGATGCATTCAGCTAGCATCCTGCTCCATCATTATTCATTCCGGCTCTTCCGTTGCTCACCAGCATTTGCCCAGACATTGAAAAATTCTTTTATGATTACTTAGCAAAAATACATTACTTCAAGTGTTTAAAACCCAGGACCTTTCAGTATATCCTGGCTACTGACAATGCTGTTGAACACAACTGTCTTCTGCACAGTAATTCCCAGCGTCTGATAAGCCCCTGCATGGGCAGGCCGTGCTCAGGGGGTGGGGACCAGCATCTTCTCTGGTAACAGGTTCTTGTTATCAGATAAGCTGAATGTTTGGCATATGTCCATAGGGCCGTTCAAGTATTGTCTCCTTGAATGTATAGTGTATGTCCTAAACCCCTTAAAGGCTTAACCAAAACCCTTCATGCTTATGCTCCATTTCTCCATGAGGCTGCTGAACACAGAGAGCATTGTTGTGTTATCAATTATAAATCTGTTAAACCAAATAAACCATTATTTTTAGTATTATTTAAAGCTTTTATCATTTTCATTTTGATTGTTTGCTAAAGGTCTTTAGAAGTAAAAACAGAAAGAAGGAGAAAGGGCAAACAGCAATACAACTAACCAAAACATCTCCCCATCCCTCCTCCCCAGGGAGGCATCCTGGCCCCAGTGAAACACACATCAAAAATGCCCATTGTTTCAAGCAGACGCTTTTTTCCAGCCTTAGTCTTTATGGGCTGAATCAAATTGTAACTATTCAACTAAGGATAGAAAATTACAGCAAGTTCTCACTCTTTTTGAATGCCTGACATTAAATTTCATTCTGTCTCTTTTTTAAAAAAATCAAGAAATAGATTTGTTTTAAGAACATCAGCTAACATAGCTAACACATATTTCTCAGATCTTGGCAGAAAAAAAGATTTTTATACCTTGCCTCTTTATATCTTGGCTACTATGTCAAGGTCTTGGTCATCCCTGCCAGCCTACATGCTTTCCAGAGGGCCCTGGTTGCCTATAACATCCTAAATTGCACTGACAGCCTGTTTAGAGCAATCAAATTAATTTGTGACAAATGCAATTGCTCTGAGTGAAAAAAACTTAATGTTCTGGAGCTTATTTATTTTATTTCTTTACATTGAGCACAAAGTCTTTGTGTTATTGTAACATAAATAAGAATAGTAAACAACCTCTTTTTTTCTTCCCATTCAATCCTTGCTCCCTATTTGTGGCCAAAGCACCTACCTGTAGGCACAGCCATCAAAACATACAGCAACTTGCATTTGCTCATATGGTTGGCTGGAGGAAATCCTAAACAGCACAGCCCTGGTTACAGAACAGATGTGCTGCTATGTAAGGGCACAGAATGAAGCAGTTCAAGCCCCGATTTTAGCTTTGTTCAGTTAGTTATTCTGAAGTTAAGCAGACATAATCGAAGTCTTTCTAAGCAGGAATATTCCAGATGGTAACTGCAGATGACCCATCATTATTAACTCAATGGCCCTTAACCATTGCTTGAATTAACATGATTAGCCACAAGAGCTTGAATGTAAATAATATAAAACACTCCTTTTTGTAGGATATGCAAAGCTGATCTTTAAGCACCGCTGTTCCTTTGCAAGGTTATTTACAAGTTTTATAGGGACTGTAGGGACAAAAGGGAACAGCGCTTTATAATGTCCACGTGCCCTTTGACAAGCTTATTCTGCAGCTATTGTGTTGTTCTAATTAAATTTTGTTGAGGTTAGTAATCCGGGAACTGTGGTCAAAGGGAAGCATCAGTGATTTAACTACACAGTGCAGAAGATTCTCTCTTTTTAATTATCATGTGGCATGCACCTTTCTTTATCTAGCTGGCCATAGGTTCTGTTCAAAGGCATGTGTGCATAAACATGGATAGCAAAATAGTCATCCCTTTTACAGATCATAAAAATGCCTATCCATTAAATGTGCTGGGTTTATATTAAGGATTTGATATTTTAAGAGAGCACATCTTGTCAAGGACAGGTAAGCAAGGAACTGAAATATCTAGCACATATGCCTAGTATCATCTACCTGACAAAAACACAGTTTTGGCAAAAATTGGCTAGTGCCTACCCAACAGCACACTTTAACTATGTCCCTTCGTTCCGTTCTCATGTAATGCACATGCTTTACTCTTGTCTCAGACCTTTCTCCTGAAGTATAAGGAGGTGAAGAACAAGCTACTTCTCTGCGGCAGATCTCCACTGCAGGGTCTGTGCTGCATTTGCTTGCCTGTGCGCTTTTAAATAACGAGGAGGTGAACTCTTGCATAGGCTGATTTAGGTTTCTGTCTTTGATATGAAGTTATTGCAGAGGGAGGAGATCAGAACCCAACTCTAGCTCCGTGAGTGTGTCACTTATGCCCTCGTAAAGCTCATGTTTCTCCCGACTCAGTTGAAATTTGATCACTTTGACCTTTTCCAGCCTTAAGATGCAGTGGTCCACAAAAAATGTAACTAGAAATCACAGACACTTAGAAAAACAGAACAAGGGACAGATTATTTGGGCTCCTATTTCAGTCACACTGATTTGCATTATGGTAGTTGAAAAAAATGGAAGTCTGTGTTGAAGCAAAAATAGCTTTTTACAGTCCCTATTATCATCCCGTTTTTAATAAACTATCTCAGATATTTGCATAAGGATTCACAGCTGTGTGCAGTGCTTTGAAACACCAGCAGTCTCGGGCTCTTTTCTCAGGTCTCCACTAGCACCACCAACATCAGTGATAAAAGAAGATAACCTGCCTGAGGCTAGGTTACAGCCTCGCTATCGTGGTGTGTGAAGAGACCGGTAGAAACACACAGAATCATAGAATAATGGAATAGTTTGGGTTGGAAGGGACCTTTAAAGGTCATCTAGTCCAACCCCCCTGCCGTGGGCAGGGACATCGTCAACTAGATCAGGTTGCTCAGAGCCCCGTCCAACCTGACCTGGAATGTTTCCAGGGATGGGGCATCCCCCGCCTCTCTGGGCAACCTGGGCCAGTGTTTCACCACCCTCAGCGTAAAAAATTTCTTCCTTATGTCTAGTCTGAATCTATCCTCTTTTAGTTTAAAGCCATTCCCCCTTGTCCTGTCGCCACAGGCCCTACTAAAACTCTGTCCCCATCTTTCTTATAACCCCCCTTTAAGTACTGACAGGCTGCAATAAGGTCTCCCCGGAGCCGCCTCCTCTCCAGGCTGAACAACCCCAACTCTCTCAGCCTTTCCTCGTAGGAGAGGTGTTCCATCCCCCTGATCATTTTCATGGCCCTCTTCTGGACCTGCTCCAACAGGTCCATGTCTCTCCTGTGCTGACGACTCCAGAGCTGGACACAGTAAGCCAGGGTGGG